CCAAACAATAAGATTAGGGGAAAGTGCTATGCTTAATTTATGGATAATGGGAGAGGTAAAGGATAGAGCTCCCACAAAGGTAAGGCTCACAGCTGGAGGGAGAGGCCTCTGAGGAGGAGGAAGACAGATCCAGATTTGTAAGGTAGCAGAAAAACATTTGGGGCCAAGCAGGAGCAAAAGAAAAGGTGTTTAAGGATCATTGTCAAATTAAAATCATACTTCTCCCTGAACAACCACTGGTGACTAATGTTTCAAGCATGCCAGAAATTGGTGGTAAATTCAAGAGTTAGATATATTTATTTTCTCTTTGCCTCTGCTCTCTGTCTTTTCTTTGTATTTTATATCCCTGAGGCCCTGATCCCACACAACACTGAGATGTGTGTCTAACCTGAAACATTCCCATTCTTCAGGGTGACCACTCCCATCTGGAAGTTCAGTGGAAGCACTGCCCTGTTTTGCTGTAAAAAGGCTTTAGCCAAGAGTCCCTCATAAGTAAAGGAGATAAAGTATAGCAATAATAACACCAATAAGATGTGACTGAAACCCCTATAAATTACCTGGCAAACTTAAGGGGAGATAGAAGTTCTGGAGCTACTTCCCAGCTGTGTTTCAATGTGTCTATCAGTCTTTACTCATCTCTTTTCATATTACTTTCTCTCCCCCTCCCTCCCTTTTTATTGATCTCTGCATCTTTTTTATTATATCCTTCTCTTTCTTCAGCACTGGTGAGCTAAATCAATGCATAATGCACATCCCACTACACAAAAGGAATGCAAATGAAAGCCGGGCTCTTTTTCAATGTCCCACATATATCTGGGTGTGCAGCGCTGGTGTGTGGGAGAGTGCACGCCAAGGACAAGGTGCTCAGCTGTGCCTCAGACACCCATTTCTCAGCACTCCGCTGGGAATGGATCAAGTGCTAAGCCCCGGGTTCCCACCACTGTGAATCATAACTCTTACAAATGGGGTCTGTTTTACACAGGACACGTCGGGTTGAACTTGGCTGAGATCCGCGGTAACCACAAAAATCTGTTATCCCCAGAGTGATCGGGGCAAGGTGAAAGGAAAGCAGCCCAGAGGTAGGAGAGGGGTGCATCAGTCACACAGACATGGCTTGGAATCACCTGTCTCCTACTAATCAAAAGGCAAAGTGAAACTTTCCCCATGGGACCAAATTCTGTGTGGAAAAAAGAAAAATATGCAAAATCCACTACAGGAAGCGGCTGGGGGTGGAGGGGGGAGAAAAGGTAGAGATGATAAATTTCACGATGGGGAAGGGCGAGAGTGCTGCAGAACTTAAAAAACGGAGCACTGCCAGATGCTTCCATTAATTAATTAATTAATCTCACTGTCACTCTTCAGCATGTTGCAGGAAGAAAATGCTATTAATCTTTTCTGTTTTCTGTTGCTCAGCTTTGTGCTTGGAGAAGGCCAGGACAGCCTGACAGTGAGACCACACAGTTTTCTTCCCTGCCTCCCTCCTTCCTTCCCCCGCGCCCCTCCTCCCTGGCAGAGCAGATTGATCCACTGTTATCTGATTAGAGAGGAAAGAAGGAGGAAAAACAAAAGCAAGACTAAAAATAAAAAGAAGTGTAATTTTATTACAGGCACTAGTGCATAGTGTCTTGAGAGCCTTGTACCATTTAGTCAAAGGAAAGTTGGACCAAGTAAAAAAGCCCATAAACCCCATGATCCTAAAAGTCAAAGGGAGTGAGAGAGGCAAAGGGACACCTGCAAACAGGCTGCCTCCATCCCTGGAAATATCCAGAACGCAGCTGAACATGACCCTGAGCAACATGCTCCAACTTTGAAGCTGGTTCTAACTTTGAAGTTGGCTCTCCTTGGACCAGAGACCTCCAGAGACTCCTCTGAACCTAAATTATTCTGTGATTCATGTCTCTGAATCTAAAGCCTGGTGGTGCTTGCGGGCTCTGTTGTATTTTTCTCCTACCAAGTGAGGTGACTTGCGTGGTCTCTGCTTTAGGAGGCAGGAGCCCACTTGGGCTTTGCTATCAAACCTCCTCCTCTGGAACCCGCCCACGACGCCCCTTCAGCCTCGTCTTTAGCAAACAAAATGTTTAGCAGTTCTTTCCAGCCACGTGGGACCCAATCCTGCAGACAATTTGTGACAAGCATTGCATTCACTGTTGTGGTTAGATTTGCTGAAGTCTAAAGAATGCCTTGTGGTAGTTCAGAAACACGCCTGGAAGAAAGCATTTGCAAGATCAAACCCTGAGGCCCCCGATTCAACAAAGCCTCTGAACATGTGTTTGAGGCTCACTGAATTCTTTGGTGAAGGGGAGTGATTCCCGGGGCTCTGAAGAGCTACATAATACAACAAGAACATCACTGAAAAAATAACACTCTCTGAAATAACTGCTTGTTGTTCTACAGGATTATAACATGTGTTAGCCTTGTAAACATGGAAATAAATTACACTTATTTTTCTGTGCTCCTGAAACCAGGACCCAAGAATTCTGTATTTTCCAGGAAAACACCCCACCAATATCAAAGAAGACTTTTGTTCAGCTTAAGGCAGAGGATTAGGTGTGACATTGTTAGATTGTGGAGAATGCTGAATTTCTGCTCTTTTTTACTGTTATTTATTATGTAATATGTACAGCCACTCACTTTCCCAACATCTTTATATTTTCTGGTGAGATTTTAATGCTTGATATACCAAGCAGAATATAAATCAGCACTGTTCATTTGTCTGAAAGACAAACTGGCAGTGTCTCTTTAGCTCTTGGGGTCATAATTCACGTGGTCCAGCCACCACAAGAGCCATTGAGATGTGTTTCACAGGTGTTAGCTCCTCTGAACCTGTCCTAGAGGCCTGAAGGCTGTGTTTGCCTGAAAACAGCAGTGGGGCTGCCCTCACAGACCCTGCAGAAACACTGAGCCCATCACCACCACAGCAGTCACACCAGCTCAACTTTTGAAGTCGCACAACCAAACATTTTTAAGGTCTCTGTTCCTGCACCTTCCCTTTGATTCAGCTAATTTGATTCATCTGAGTCCCTATATTCAATATTTCACAAGGAATTTGATATAATTTGTTTTGTAATCGAGGATCTGTGCAAACCACAACCTTCCAAAGCCCGTGACAAACAAACAACTTTTTTGCCCCTGGAATTCCCCTCTCCTTTCCAAAACAAGCAAATCTGAAAACCCACTTCCTCTGTCATGGAGTAGAAAAATCTGTATGTTTTAGTTGCTTCATTTTCTAGTCAGACTGCTGTCAGGCAGCCTTGTTCCACACTCTCAGGAAACCCTGTTGCTGTTCCTGGAGTTGGATGGTGGATGAATGGTTGGATGATGGGGGGTGGATGACACAACTGGACTCCATGATCTTAAAGGTTTTCCCGACATAACCAATCCCATGTTTTTATATAAAGGCATAAAGCAGAGTGTTGCATACCCCTAGGACATCACTGTGTGGTCCAAGGCTTGGGATACCCCACTCTTACTCCTGTCCATGGACTTATTTGGAGCATTTTGCAGCTCCCACCCAACCCACATCACCTGGTTTCCTGGAAAACTGATGGGCACAGGGGAGGACCTGGGTCATGTCCTAATGTAATGCTGGGATGTGGTCAAAACACAGACCTGGACCAAGGAATTCAGCCCTGCTGTGGATCAGGGTGATGCAGACACAACCATCCAGCACCAGCCCAAAGCCTTGCTGGAACCGGCCTCACACCACGCGTGATGTCTGGGGAACCCAAAACATTTGCGTAAGTGTTTATCCCACTTTCAAAATATTATGACTAAAATCTTGCAGTGCTTGAGGCTCTAAGGCAGCAAGTTACTTGAAACACAAATGTAACTCCAAGACCACCAATTGTCGCAATTAGGTTCGACAATAAATTTCCCTGATTTCAATAGAACTATTTACATATGTAAATAAGTACATCACCAAATCAGGCTTCAAGTCTCACTCACAATGTGGGAAGCTGAAGTTAAAATGTAGCTGTTGTGATGAGCCAAGCAGTCCCGTTTACCACCCAAAGGAAACATGGTGCCTGTGAGGTCCATTCTGCGTTGCTCCAGGCACAAGAGATAATGGTCAAATTGCCAAAAAGAGCAAATTTCAGATTTGCAAACGCTACAGTATCTGCTGAGGACTGATGCCCTGAGCTGAAGGCATGGGATCACTACATGGGGCAGGGTGTTTGCTTGGGCAGTCCAGATAAGGAATCTCATAAAATGTCTTGAGAAAAAGCCGACCCTTTATAAACATTAACTTTGGTTCCTGAAGCCCTGCATGTTTTGTTCTTTTCCCAGACCTCACAGACCCCTGGGTGGAAAAAGCAACCCCACAACGTGGGACTACTCCACAGAAGGTGCAGTGTAAATTGGTCTCCATTTCCCTTCTCTGTCCTCAGCATTCCTAGAGAGTTTAATAAATATGTAAATCTCGAAACTGCAGCCCCGATAGCTCGAGCATCTTCCGGCCATTGTGCTTACAGGTTTTGCTAATCAGAGCAAACCAGGCTTGCAAATGAAATCTGATTAAGTAGTTTTCACCTCTGAAAAAGGGGATTAGCCAGACCTTTGATCCTCAGATATTGATTTGCAACTCAAAGGAGGTGTGACCTCAGCTGGACTTGCTTCTGGTCTCAGTCCCTTCCCCTTTCACTCCTCCTCCTGTTTACCAGAAAAAAATCAGTTCATGTCTTCTCACGTAGTCAGATCTAAAGCCTATTGAAGCCAGTGGAAAACCACCCACTGACTTCAATGGGCTTTGGATCAGTCCCACAATGGCTGACTTAGCCCTAAGTCCTGGGCTGTTTCAAAGCCAGCAGAACCAATTTCCCATCAAAATGACCAGAAGCTGGGAAGATATGTTCACCTTTCAAACCTACAAATTCCACCTTTTTTCTCTCTCCCATGACAACTCTTCAGCTGGAAATGCTGAAAGTACTGCTGGTTTTTCCCTTGCACTCTGTGCTGGGCTGTTGCCCACCGTGGGTCTGAGGGCTCTGAGCCAGACTTACCGATGCAATTAAAGGACAACTCCTGCAGGCAGAACAGGGAACAGCCATCACCGTTTATCTTGTTCATGTCATCACATTCTTCCCCCAGTTCTCTGCAGGCAAAAAGCAGTCAGCAGGCAAAGTAACATCAACCTCATGGTCTGTGTAACCCCTCTGAAGAACCCCAAAGCCCTCATATCTTGTACAGCAGCTTTGTGTGGCCAACCCCTAAAATACCTCTCCCTTCCTCCTTAAGGGAGCCTCCTGGCTTCATCCTTTTCATCATTCCTGGTTCACAGGCTTGCCTGGCCAGCTCCCTGCTGCACATGTGGATACCACTTGCTGTCCTCTGATGAGGATATGAACAACTTCCTTCATAGCTGGTGTGGCTGTAGCTCAGCAGGTGGGGAAAAAGAGAACAGGAATCTCTGAAACTCTTTGTATTAAATCTGGAAGGGCCAGGCTTCCAGATTTCTGGAAGACCCCAGCATGGGAATAACAAGGCATAAAGCCTGGAGCGTGGCTATTCCAGGTGGCAGAACTCAGAGGAGAGCAGTCAACAGGGAGCTAGGGGTGTTGGGGACGGGCTCCTGCCTCATGCCAACCCACACGGCTGCGGCAGCGTGTGGGAGAAGAGTGGGAACCAGATGAGAAAGGGGCTGCCACAGCTGCAAGTGGGGCCACAACCAACCAAGCTGTGACACAGTCTGGTTCCTGCTCGCTCCTGAGGCAGCTCAGCTATTGTTTGACACTTGCTGCAAAGCCACAAGTGATGTTTGAGGAATGTGCAAACATAACAGTAGCAGAAAAGTTATGTAAAGCAAAATTAATCTGTCTTTCTCCACCTCTCTTTCCAGGATTGCCCTGGATTCATATGTTGTTTGATTGTTTTCTTTGCTTTCCTTGCCTGTTGGGCCTCTTCCTGCAAATATTTGCTGCCAGGTATATCATCTGACAGAGTTGTGCTCTGTGATTGCTGATCAGCATTATTTCAAGCAAATAATACTGGCTGGATTAAGCACTTGCTTATTGTTACTTCCATAGTTTAAATAATTAAATTACCTAATGCCAGGAAGCTTTGAAGCAGCAGCCTTAAGGGCCAACATAGTAAAGGAATAAACTCTAACATAGTTGTGAAGGATTGTTTTACATTTTCAATGGCCTGGGGACTGGTGAGAGAGTGATTGAGAACATGCAATTCCCAGCACTCTTCCTCCGAGGCCAAATCTATCACTTCCAAATGCATCCCAGCTCTGGTGGTCAGTCAAACAAGGGGTTGCACCAGGCACTTGGCCCCAGCACGTGGCAGGGTTTTACCCAGCTGCCACACACATGGGACAGCATGGAAGGCTGTGTGAATTTTTCCAGCTTCAGGTCTGTGCAGGAAATGTCACACCCATGTATAAAGATACAGATACATGGGCAAACAGCATAAACAGCACAGAGCGTCCTTGCCTATCGATCCTGCTGTCTGGACTCCATTATCTGTATCTCTGTCTGTATCTCCTGGTGCCAGGAGAGAAGGGCCTACATTACAATTAAATGTCATCATCCCGGTAATCATCAAGCACATGAGTCATTATCTACAGATGAGAGCCAGCCTAACCTAAGGAGACATCAGAGGTCATCAATTCCTTCCTAGCCTCGGATTCTGGCTGAGGAGATGTGCCCAGATTTATCTGTTTGCTCACTCCAGACTTACATTTGGATAATCCCATCTCCACAGTATCCACTCCCAGAGACATAAACGAGGGCGGGGGACGGCTCGCTCTCCTCCATCCCGGACACAATGACCACCTGGTATCTGTACGTGGTCCTGTCGCTCAGCTCCCTGCCAGACAAAAGGAAAGTCAGTCACTCATACAACAAAGGCAGCAGCAGCAAAGGGCAGAGAAAGAGGGACTGGAGCTGTGGCTGCCATAAAAGGAAGGTATAGTTCAATCAGCTCCTCCCAGTGATCCTACCTTGTTTTGACGTGATTAATTTTTGGTTGGGTGTCTTTTTTTTGTGAGCACAACCAGCACTACCTTTGTCTATGCTTGATTTATGCACAACTCTGATATAGGTGCAGTTCTTGACCACCTGACAGCTAAACCATTTCCTGATGAAAACAATTATTTTGGTGTGTTGCTGCTTACATCTCCACCTGCTGCAGAGATGGCATTGCAGTGACACCGTGGCAGTGCCAGCCCTCACCATGAGCAGTGGGAAACACTGAGATTATCACCAACAGACAACAATACTTCAACACCTGAAGAACCAACCCTGTTCCTCACTGTGTTCAGCCTTGGACACTTCTGTTCCATGTCAGGGACAGCAAGTCTGTGCCACAGCTAATTTAAGGAATTTAAAATACCCTGTTATTCATTATTATTATAAATACTCATTATTTCCTGAGCAGCCCTGAGCTCAATCCAGCTGCACCTGGAGCCAGTGGGAATGTGATGATTAATGTAAGCTGAGGATGTTTCAGTGATGGACAAATAAGTTATCTACATCACATATGGGCATTAAAACAGAAGAATTAAAAAGCTGGTTTCTTCCAGAGCAAAAAATAGGATCCACACCACAGCACAGGATCAGGGTATTAGCATTGAAATATTTACAGAAAGAATTAGCGAACTGTTGCATATTGATGCAAAGCCATAATTACCTAAAACCTGTGCATCTGTAAATGAGGAATAATATTTTTCATATGTAATATGGGAATAATATAATCCTAATAAAAATGTTTGGCTCTTTTACACTATCAAGACTCAAGACCTTCCTCAAAGAAACTCATTTGTGGTCCTCATTGTGCCGATTTGTAAAGCCATGGAGTGGCCAAGGCAAAATGATTTGCTCAAAGTCATCAATCAGGTTAATTGCAGAGCAGGAAAGGCAACCCAGCTCTTCCCTAAGCCCGCCAGTCCTGTGCTCACTGTGCTCACATTGCCCCAATTACTGACAGCAATATACATGGCTTTTTGTCACAGGAACTTGGTCAAAAAGCATCTACTAATGAAGTGTGTACTACGAGGAGATAAATCTACTACGCAGAGCAGCAAAGCCATTGAAGTGGATATCAATGAGTTACTGAAATCTTCAGGTTCATGAAATAAGTATCTCCTTACAACATTCATTAAATTAACAAGCATGACTTAAACTCCAATATCCCACATTATATTTTACAACAAAGCTGTTTCTCATGGGTACTGTGCCTGCAAAAAAACCCAAAAAAACTGGCTTTGAATGAATTGCACGCCAAGAGCACTGGGATCTGACTCTTTGTTACTGCACATGGCACTGGAATGGGAGTGCAACTCAGTGGAAGGAAAACAGGACTGGCTTTCTCATTCCTTCTGCACCTGATTCCTGTCGGCAACAGTCCGTGGCTCCTATTAGCTAAATTTGAGAGTTCATGTAGCACAAACAGTATCTTAATTCACCTACAGGCTGGGGAGATGTCTACCCAGATATTGGTAAGACTGTTTATTCAATCAAAGTGAAAAGTTTCAAACTTCTGCCCCTTGGGGTTTGTTTAACGCAACTGTTTTTCTGGGGGAAAAAAGAAATTATAGGAAGTAACTAAAGTGGTCAAACACACACTGTAGTAAAATAATGAGGGTTTTCCTCTAGATTTCACTCCCAGATAAATCCACTTACTAAGATGGGAGGTTTTTATATATACTGATGAAATCAAAACAGAGCCAAGCTTTGATTATTAAAGAGCAGTTATTTCTCAAGTTCTGTCTCAAAACCATCTTAATACCATTTGTAAAATATTTAAGATTAACAAGTACACTTGTAGGAATGTGGATTTTGTCACTGGGGATCTGCTAACCACAAAAAAAAAAACCCAAAAGATTCAATTTTTGAAAATGATAACAATGAACATTTGGGGCAGCTGCAAAATAAATGAGGCCATGATGCTTTCTGATGCACTGAGATTATAGTCCTGAGTGCAAAACAGGAGCTTGCAGATTCTGATTTTTGGTGTGATTTCCACCAATACCTCCAGGTGATGAGGCAGCTAAAAGCAGTGAGTGCCCCCTGCACATGGCTTTTACTGGAGGGAAGTATTTGTGTGCACATGTGAGCAAAGGGACAACAGGAAAAGCTCATACTTGTTTGGAAGTTGGCAGAATACAGTGGAGGAAAACCTAGAATCAAATCAAGCACAAGGAGAATGTGGTGGTTATGAATTATGAGGTGGCTGGAGATGAATGTGTACATGGGTGAATAAGACAGAAAATTGGAAATTAAAGTTATTAGGTGGGAAGAACTCTGACCTATTTAATTGTATGGCTTAAGAATGGAAAACTTTGTATGGAGTACATTGGCTGCTGGCTGTGCTCTAACCCTGTCACCTGCTGCACATCAGGGAGGGGAGATATCCAACTGCAACCTGCTCAGAGATGGAATGCTCTTGGAACTTTGTGTTGTGACAGGCAAATGACCCTTCAAATTTAGCGACACAAAAAAAAAACACAACCCCAAAAAAACCCCCAAAACAAAACAAAACAAAACAAAAAAAAAAAAAACCCATTTATTCTCCAAAAAGAAGGTGAACAAAATCTCTGCCTCCTTACACATTATTTTCACATTCTGGTTCCCCTTACTCCTCAGCAGTAGAAAATAAGAGCTATTAAGTTATTTATGCTCATGACACCCCAATATCCTTGTTTTAGGTTAAAATACAAAGAAAGGAGAGAGAAATGCCTGGGGATATGTGGTCCCTTTAGAGCAATGGCAGGTCTCCAGAGAGGCCAGTCCTCCTCATCCACATCCCAAATCCCCTTCTGAGCACCTGAAGCTTCACAGTTTTCACTGCACTGGGGAACAGCAGGGGAGCCCCAGGATGTGACATCCAGGGCAGCACCAACAAACCAGCAGTGCCCAGAGGAGCTCGGAAATGGGATGTCTGCTCCAGAGGGGCTCCACACACGCAGAGCTGGAGATGTGGTTGGACTGGAACATCAAAAAAGCACCTCAGAAACTCAAAACTGAAGCCAGCATGGTTTCAACTCACCTTGGCCAGACACAACGAGTGACAAAAAGCTGACTGAGATGCATGTGGCATTTCACGATTCAACAACTGGAACGTGAGATACTTATATCCTCCTGAACTGTTACATGTGTCATATTGGCAGCAACTGAGAGTTTTGGCATTCCTTCACAGTGCCCACATTTTGGAGAAATATAGCTGCTAAAGGGATGATATGTGCAATACCCCAGGCAGTGATCCAGTCTCATAGTGAGGGAGGGAGGAAGGAATGCAAGGGGAAGGGTTTATTCCCTCTCTACAGATATAGGATAGCAAGGCTGATAGTTCAGAGATGGAGATGTCAGCAAGAGAAGCTGTGCTCCAAGTGGTGAAAAAAATGTGTTTTTTGACCATTTAATTCCTCTGCCGCCTTCCCTGGGAGCTGGTGGCACAGTGACAGCAACAAGGGGCCCTTTCCACTCTGCTGCCAGGCAGGACCCAGCACACGGCGGCTCTGTGAGGTGCAACTTAAGGAAGTGAGAGAAAAGAACATCTTTAACATCAAGGATGTGAACAAACACTCTTCAAATGTATATCGACGGTCTTTTAATGACCTTTTCTAGAACTGAGTAAGCCGCATTGATCTCTGCAGCTTCCGCCTGTGGGGAGGCAGCCTTATTAAAAAGCAATGACTCAAGCCCTCTGCTTAGAGGGGGAATTAGGACGTGCCGTGTGAAATACCACAAGGGCAACTTTCCTGTCTGTTGTGGCAAGTGACGGATCCTGGGTCAGGGATATAGAACCCTCTAATTCTTTTCCTGTTTTTACTGGAGAGGCTGGGCAATGGAGTTAATCTTGCTCTCTCTCTCCCTCAGGCAAGGGACCCCTGCACTCAGTTTGGGTGTTCCTGGAAAACTTAACGGAAAATTTATACCTGTGGGAAGTTGTTTTTTACTCAGACCAAGGTGGGTTTAAAATCATTGAATTTACAGAAGAAGCACTCATGCCCTTGGGTTCCAGCAGACCTGCAAAGGCTGACGCTGCCCCAACCACATCTGCCCTGTGCATGCTGTAGGGTTTCAGTACCTGAGGACACACTTGAGATGCAGTGAAAGAACTGAGGGAAAGCAAACATCCTATGCCTCTTTTCCTACTACCATGGCATATATGTTTTTCCTACTACAAATAACAGCAGGAGGGTTCCTTATACAGCAAAGACTTGTTTCCAACAGAATTGAAAATATCCTTAAGGCTGAGCTCAGCTTCTGCCCTATGAAAAGACAAATGGTCAGACAGCAATGAAACCAGACAGTGTTCCTCTTATTTAAGGACAAGATAACACATGCTTAAGCATCCCCAATTAAATTACAGCTGTCACAGCCAGAGCTGTGTGAAACAGGCAAATTCTACACCTGAAGTGTCCTCATGAAGGACACATATGTCTTTGACCTTAAACAGCCACCAAACACTTGAGACAAAAGATGACATTTCCTTGCCATCTCCCTGCAGCCCCAAATGAGCTCTGGTCTGCTGGTGACAGCCCTGCTTCCCTCTAACACTGTCACCTTTGCTCTTCTTCTCTAGCAAGGAAGCCTTGATGAGCAAAACAGGAAATCTGCTGGCAGCAAACAACATCAACCCCACATCTTCCCTCGTTACAATGCTTTAGATCAGCTGCCAGGGTGGACTGGATTACAACCACAAACAGAAGAGCTGAAGGTCTACACCATCCCTTGCCATCTGACAGCAGACACAGCCTGAAGCTGTCCAGTCTGTCCCCACATGCTGCTCACAGCCTCTGAAAGTGCCAGTTCCAGAGGTCCTGAATTACCCCAAATACCCACTAACACCATGGTGTTTACAGG